TTAAAATTAAAGGCGTATCCCGAAATATAATTAGGATTTTATCTATTTATAGCTGCTTATAATAAAATTTTTCCGGCTTATTATTTCCTAAACGCGCGTAATAAGTATTTATAAGCGATATAGTAATTTTCTATTTTATAATCCCTTTTAACTTTTTTTTAACTTTTTTTTTACGGGAAAATTAAATATTTAATTTATATAGGTAACGATTAAGTTTAAAACTTTCTATTTTTTTCCTCGATATATTAAACCCGCGTATTTAATTTTATAACTTAATACCGTTTAAATTTTTCGAAACGAAAATTTCTTTCGGGTAAGTACCTATTAATAGCGGTACCGCTTCGGTACTTTATTATAGCGGGTTATTGCGTATAAATACGGGCATTTTATAATAGGGTATATAGTTACGTATTTAAATAATATAACAGAATTTTAAAAATATAAATAGAATTTAAGTTTATTTATAAAAAGCGATAAAACTATATTAATAAACGGATCGTTTTATATATAAATAAAATCGGTTTTACCGAAATAGTTTAAAATAGAAATAAAATCGATACGTTAGTTTCGATATATTTGCTATAATATTCTTTAGCTTTATTTTTCTTTCCGATATTTGCTATTTTAGCTAAAATATTAATCGATAACTTAACTAATAATACTTAAGCTAGTATTTTTTAATACCGGTAGGGTTTATATTTATATATAAACCTAAATAAGGTATCCGATAAATATTTAAATATAATTTATTTATTAAAATAGCTAATTCTATAGCTGTAAGCCGGTTAATAAATATATAAAATAAAATTATATAAATTAACGTTTAATATAAATATATTATAAAAAAATAGTCCTAAAATTCTTTAAGTATAGCTGGTTTAATATAAAAAGCGCGTTATATTTTTTTTATTTAACTGTTAATAGTTAGTTTATTAAACGGATTAAAGCATTTGCCGATTTATAAAATAGCTATTTATAAACTATAATATTACGGAATTTATAATATATTAATATAACTATTTCGGAATATAGGCTTATTTCCTTTCGTTAATAAATTAAATTCCTATTTAGCCCGGCGATTTTTCCTATTAATGCGTTTATATATTTTATAACGCTATATATTGCTTTAAATTTAATTAGGGTAACCTCGGTTATAATAGGTTGCTAAAATATAAGCTAATAATTAAAAGTATATATTATATGCCCTATTATAAGGACGCTTTATATAAAATCTTCGAATTTAGTATTTAAATTTATTTTAAACCTTTTTATAAATGTTAATTTAATAAAATGCGATATTTTATAATAGAGTTAAAAGAAGCGAGCTATAATAATATTAAGCTGTTTTAGAAAAAAGTTTACGCGCTTTAGTTTTTATTCGTATTTAACGACGGTATATATTAAGGTTTTGTTAAATATACGGACGGTATTTTTTATTAGATTTACAGCCGCTATAACCGAAAACGGTAATTGGATCGGTATATTTTAATTACCCTATTTAGATATATTTAATTCCTTTTTGGGACTTAATTTAAATTAGATATATTTACTTAAAAAAAGCCTTTATAAAAGGGATATTTAGATATTTTATATTAAAAGTATATAGTCTTTAATTATTTTTAGCTTGGCATTCGAAAATGCCTAAAATAGCTAGTCCGGTACTATTTCGCTTTTTATAATATCTTATAAATATTTCGTAACTATATATAATTAATTGTTTATATATAATAATAAATATATTTCCGCTAATAGTTTATAGTACCTTTCGAGATAAAAAATCGCTACTGTTAAATTATTTTCTTCCTTTAAAATATAGCCCAGTTTAGGAACGGTTTAAATAAGGTAAGTATTTAGGTATAAGCGGGCGTTATTAAGGTAAAGATTCGGTACGCCGAATATTATAATAAAAGCGATAATGCTAATATACCACCAAAAAAAGGCGGGCCACTAAAAAAGGGTACGCTGCTAAGAGAGGCTGTAATACCATCTGGCTTATCTCCCTATTTGGGGTTCTCCAAACATAAAGCCAGGTAAATAGGTTAGGGGCAAGGTATATATAACCCCCGAAGCAATAGGGAAAGGTCCAAAAGCAGACATTTGTTTTTTTTCCTCTCGTTCTTTTTTCTTTTGTTTTTTTCTCTCTTGTTATTTTTTTTTTTATTCTTTCTATTACAACTGCTTCGCTATTCTGCATACATTTTCTAGGTTTACTTATATAAGCTACGGGTTTTAAAAAGTGCTTATTTTTAATAATGGTCTAAAAACGGATATTATCGGTAAGGTAATGGTTATTAGTAGATAATATTAATAAATATTGCCGTTAGGAATTTCTAAGGGTATATATAAATAGGAAAAGCAGACGGGATCTTTTTACGAAGGCTAAAGTAGTCGATAATTATATTTCGTTACTCGTATATTCCGTTATTTGTAAAAATATAAAAGTATACCGGCGAAATTAATCGCTTAAAATAACTCTAACTATATATATTAAGATATAATGGTATATAAATGGCATAGGAATGCAGGTTATACGTTAAATTAAATAGCTTACCGCCATTAACAGCTTAAAAACTACAGTACGATCTATATATAAAGTATAAATATAAAGAGCGGTATATACTATAAACTATGCCTTACCGGCACCTAGGCGTAATTGTATCCCTATATTATGGAAACTAATAAATTACCTATAAACTATATTTTAAACTATTAATAAATGGGTAGCTTAAAGAACCGATTTACTATAGCCTATAGTTTAAGCTATTTTAAGTAATATATATTAATGGTAAAAGATAATAAGAAATGCTATAAAAAAAGCTATAAGATATGCTATCTAAAATATATATTAAATATAGTATTAAATTAGCTGCCCTTAATTTTTTACTATCTTTATAAACTAAGTTAGCATAAGAAAACCTACTTAATATATAAAAACACGTTATACGGGACAACACATAAAAAAAAGGGGATTAGGGTAATTCCTATAAAATACCGGTAGAAAAATACATAAATTAACCGAACCGCCCCCCGATACCGGATACTCCCCCGGACTGCTATTATAAGCATATATAACTCGTTAAGGTCCTTTTCCTACTTTAATGGTTTTGCGCCTCTCCCTAACTGCAGCAGGTGAAAGGCAGCGTATAAACCTGACAGAAACCTGCTTTAATTTCAGTAACTTGAGATAACTAATACCTATTAGGAGAACCTTAACAAGCCATATTACTATTTAATAAGGTCGGATTTTACGCGAAGGGGCCGTCTTTCATCACATTTAAATGGCAACTTAATATCTGGCTATATATATAGGTCGGTGGCATTTTAAGGCATATAAATATTAGAAAAAACTACCTACTATATTAAAGCTTACCGCATTCGGTTATTATATTAACGCTAAATAACGTTCGATCTACTACACACTACTTAAACGCACTACTTAAACCACGCGTTTATAGGTTATTTTTAAAACCAAATAGCTTATTATATATTATAAACGTTGCGGCTATTATAAATAACGACTTATAGTCGCCGTAACTTTATAAATACTCTTCGTTTCCAGCTTACGTTACGTTATTTCTTCTAATAACCTGGCTGATAATATACAATTTATAAATCTTAAAAGGTGGTACGAAATTAAAAAAGGGGATTAAATAATAATTAAATCAATGAAAATAACATATAACTATATTACAGTAGATTATTTTACAATAATACGCTGCGCCTTTCCCAGCTTAGCCACCTAGGTAAGACCTACAGCGGTTGTTATAAGATAATTTGTACTGTGGTGGCACTTATTTATAATCGCTGCCTAAGGTCCTAACTAGGTATCGGCGCGGAACTAATATAACTCCGATGGATTAATAAAAGGAGTAATTTTATGTATGTAATTATATATACAACTTTAAATATATACACTTAATTAATTAATAAATATTCGTATTATATACGCAATTACACATATAAATCAGTTATTTAGCGGTTTTAATAGCTTTATCCTAATTTATAATACTTATATTAAAGAATAATGGTATAAATATTATCTTTTAATAAAGCCTCTGTGGTTTAGTGGTATAATTAGGACCGGTAGGTTTTAAATAAGGGTTCGATTCCCTTTTAAGGCGTTATTTAATATAAAGACTTAATGGTTATTAGGTATTTATACTTAATGTTTTAATATAGCCTTTTATTTTAATTTTTTTCTCAGCTTTTTTTTTTCCATTTTAAATATAATAAATATTACGTATTTACGTTTAATTACTAGGACTACTCCCTATTAAATATACTGATTTAATATATATTAAAAAGGCTAAAGCCGAGAAGTATAGGCAATTCTTAAGGTAGGATCGGCCGTAATCTATTAACTAGCAGACGGTACATTATTATATTAAATGTACAGGGCTAATCCCCATACAATTTATGTATGAAATAACCCCAGTAGCACTAGACCTAAGTGCTTTATAGCTTATTCACTGGTCTTATAGCAAATACCAGTAGGTACGTACTACCTTAAGTAATCTAACTGCTTATACGCCTCTAAGTACTCAGATCCAGCCACTTATTAGCCATTATCAGCCACTAAGCCCTGAAACGTTTAAAACCGAGGTTTTTTCAACTCGCATGCACTTTTACCGCCCTTTAAACTGGGAATTCTGCTATACCTTAGCCTTACCATTTTCTCAGCTTTGCCAGATAATTTTACTTAACCTCCTAAACCACCTTATCCCTCCTTAGGTCATTTAATTGCTTATAAACATACTATATACGAAGTAGGCAGTAACCATATGTACTTAATACTTCTTAATTAAGCATAATTACACATATACCTACATCTATATATAGCTAAAACCGAAATGTTTAATTACGTACGCTTTTACCGCCTTCCGAAACGGGAATATTGCCGCGCTGCAGCCATTAAATTCAGAAATCTATAGAGGCACTTATAATTATTTCACCATTATCTTTATAACCTAATAAATCTACCATTACTATTATCATTTCATACATCCGACTAAAAGCATCTAACCTAATACATATAAAGTAAGCTAACTGCCCTCCTATTTACCTAATATCCAATACTTACGTTTAAAATTCACCCAATATATCTATTAACTATATCGTCTGTATCTATTTTCTATCCTACCGATATATATATCATAATTATCGCGAATTATCTGCGCTACGGGAAAGAGCATATTCCTAACGGCCCTACCGTATATACCTAAATTCGCTATATCGATACCGATTATAAAAGGCTTTAAAAAAGTATTTTTTTAAAAGCAATATAATAATATTTACTTATTTTAAAGCTATAAATACCATATATAATTAATAAATATAAGCCGCTATAATAAAACCTTTACGACATTTATATCGATATAAACGTCCTTAAGCCCTATAATTTTAAAAAAGCAATTAAAACTTACAGTATTTAAGTTATCTTTAGCGATATTTTATAATAGGTTATATATTAAAACGGCCGTATTTTTTATAGTTTAAATATTAATAATTAAGATTGGAATTTTTTTTTAATAAACGTAACCTTCCTATAAATCGATAAAAAGATCTAACTATTTATATAAGCAATTAAATTAAATATATTTCGTATACTCGGCATATTATTTCTCATATATAAAAAGTAATAGGCCGCCTTTAATATCGCAATAATAGCGGCCCTAATTTATAATAAAAACAAAAAAAAATAGGCTATACCTTTTATTTTTAAAACTGCTAATTTATTTAAATAATAATAATAAATAGATATTAATAATGGAGCTTTCGGAGGTACCTACGACCTTATTAACGAATAAAACGAGGCGGTATAGATGCTAGCTCGATTCGTTAGCTCCTAACGTCAAACCAGCGCTATTTACCCCTATGCCCAGTCTGTATATAAGGGCTACCAAAAGGGTGTATAGGATACTAATAAGTATTATGGATTAACTATTGAAAGCCTTAAATTAATCGATTCCTAGTTTAAGCTCTTGATATATAGGATGCTAGCACCGACGGGTACTATAGATTAGATGCGATAAAAAGGGAAAGGTATATGGGATTAGCTATTTTACGAATAGCTTCATTTCGGGTTAAAAGCCTTAAATCAATCGATTCCTAGTTCAAGCTCTTAATATATATGTATGAATGACTTTATTAGTAATAATCGCTTAAAAGTAACCTATTCCTAAATGGGAAATCGCCGACTCCGAGAGTTGGGATGGTAGGGCACGGCCGCGTACAGGTCGAAATTGTAGCTATAGGTATTGGCCGCTTGTTAGATTCTCCCGGTACATACACGGCAAGCAAGCAAGCAAATAAGCGAGCGGGTAATTAGAAGGCCGGGCAGCCCGGCAGTGACTGAATCGCTGTGTATGAATGTGTACTTCGCCTCCGCGATCAAGTAATCTTATGTGCGATATGGGTAGATAATACGCATACGTAAGGGCTCAATAAAGCAAGGAAGAAAGGGGGATGAAGAGAGAAACTTACAAGTTCGGTTTCTTGTATGCCTTAATGGCGGCGTTGACGGCGTCGCGCCGCTTCCCGACGTCACCGTGCCGCACCCGCGTGTCCGGTATCGTCAGCGCGAGGACCTTGCCCCCGCGCGACAGCGGGATGGCCCAGGTGCGCTCGAGCGCCGCCATGATCTCGTCGGGCTGGTGGCCCCAGCCGACATCACTGTACGCGTTGGCTCTCGGTCAGTACACGTACTTGCTACCTACGCCTCGTATGCACGTGCCTACGCCCATAGAGATGGACAGATAGATAGATCGTAGTCTGGGCAAGAAAACCGAGGTGTGATCATGGTGACCGGACAGATAATTAGACGGAGAGAGGGGAACGAAAGAACGAACGTACTTTGTCCCGCCGAGCACAACCGTCCAGTCATACGGCCCCTCTGCGTCGGTATGTCTCCCTGCTCGGGGTGTTTGGTCAGCTCAGCTCAACCTAGCCCAGCAGAATCCGGCAAATATAGAACAGCCCAGACAATAAACAACACGGCCAACGGCCACTCATCCATCCGCCTGTTCTTCTCCGCCTCTACACATACCTATCTATACCCAGGTAGCGAAAAGTTACTCTCACTGAAAGAAGAAGAGCAACTGGAAAATTCACAACACGTAGAGAAGAGAAGATGAGGAGGACCACGGTAGGTAGCCAGGAAGAAGAAGAAGAGGGCGAGAAAAAGCAAACATAGGTAACAAACATACAACACAGCTGCATCCGCTTGACGTAGGAGCCCCGCGTGACGAGATCGCCCGGCACGCCCTCGTCCTCGCACTCGACGAAGCAGGCCGGAAACGCGGCCTCGAGGCGCTCCTTGAGCTTCTCCGAGTAGGGGTTGCCGGCCGGGTACCCCGACGTTAGCGAGTCGCCGAAGCAGAGGATGCGCAAGAAGGACGAGGAGGACTGCTGCTGCTGCTGCTGCTGCTTCTTGGCCATCGTCTCCGTCTCTGTCTCTTGCTGGGCCGGGGGGGGGGGGGGCTTGTGTACCTAGTTTATAGGCTAGATAGACAGATAGGTGAGGTATGACGATGTGTGTGCGTCTGTATGTCTGTCTGTCTATACGTCTGTGTTAATGTGTAAGTAGGTAGGTAGGTAGGTAGGTAGGTAGGTAGGTAGGCAGAGGTGCCTTAGGCATGCGCTGACAGTCCGGGTTCTCGAGTTTCTACCTAGGCACCGAGGCTGCGATTCCTGACCTGAACTAGGCAAGGGATCGGTACCCTAGGACATATCCAGAAGAGGTGACTCAAGCCAAGAAAAGCGAGATGACGGTTGATGATACCCAAGTACCTAATGCAAATAAAGTGTGCAAGAAAAAGAAGGTTAGTCAGTAACAGCTACCTATTGCTCCGAGGGTGAAAAAGCAAGCAAATCCGGGACCATATCAGATTGGATGGCTGGGCTCAATCAACTCCCGATTGTTGTTGTCGTAGGTTGCGTCAGGACTCAGGTCCGTCGGTGGATGGATAATAGGCCCCGCCAAACCCCAGGCGGCAAGCTATGATAAGCTCGACGCCATGTGGGGCCTTGGGACACTGGCTAGCCGCTTTCAGCCCTGCGCCCCACCTGATTGTGTAAACGTGGATGTACAAGTAACCTCTTTATGAATGTTTGTATGTATGATGGGTTTTAGGTAAAAGTGTCTAGATATAGAACCAGCTCTATTATATAACCTAAAAATACCATAAATACGTAAATAACCGAAAAGTTAATAACCATTAAATAGTTATATTTATTATAAGTGTTGGATGGCCTCTGTTATACGTACGTACGAATTATAATGGAATTGCGATTTTATGGTGATAATTTATTATTATTGAATTAAAAGGTAAAAGTTATGGGCTATAGTGGTGGGGATTTAGTTACCACTACTAAGGTCCTGCAGGTTACGTAACGTAGTTACGTGATTACGCTAAACCTAATCTAGACTAGCCTATCATGGATTTGATTGCAGTGGTTTAACACTAGGCACTTTTTATTTTATCGTTGAAAAACGCGTTTTACGGCTTTAAATCCATTTATCTCCTTTTTATATAAATATCCCGTTTTCTTTTTATACGTAACCTTTATATATAACTTACATAACGTTATACTATCTCTATAATATTACCTTATTTTACCTTATAATATAGTAGTCCTATTAACGAAGGCTTCGATTTGTACAGTAAGTCGATTTATTAAAATTAGTTTTTCGAGGGCTAAATTCGGGGTTTTTTTCGTAAACGCGTTTAATGGATTATTTTTACTATCTATCTACCTAATTTTTAATATTTTTTATCGTTTATATAACTTTTAAAGTAATATTACGTCGATTATTAGCCTCTTTTTTAATATTATTCCCAGCTTAACTAAATATTTATATAATAATTTCGAATCTATATAAACAATTATAGGTATTTATAATAATTTAAAGGTATCGGTAATTTAATTAATCGTTATACTAAATATAATAGTATTATCGAAACCTAAAATCATTTTATATAACTTATTCGCTAATATATTCCTAGTAACTCTTTTATATTTAGTTAAATTTTAGTAGATTATATTACCGTAGATCGCGAAATTTATATCCGATCGAACTTTAATTACCAATACAATAATAAACCTTAATTAAAAACTAAGG